CTGAAGAAGTGTTCCCTCCGAAGATTTATTGGGTTGCCCAAAAAGTAATTGCGGATTTTTCCCACCAAACAGACAGTATAACCTTCTTTTGGTGGATATCAGCCTTTGAAGTGGTTTGAGCTGGTTCACCATACATGGACCATGATCGGTTTCGACTAACGTTGTTGTAAACAATCCATTTTTCATCTCCAGTTATGATTCGTTTTAAAAACGGATCGAATTCATTGCGTTTAAGGTGCATATCACAACTTTCAATACATGTGGTACCCAAATATCAAGCTTTTTCACCAGTCCAAGACCTTTTATGTGATAATGAACGGTTGATTTTGGTATATTTAACTTCTCTCCTATCTCACGCTCAGTTACATGATGATCCAATTCGATTAATGCTTTAAAGCTAAAAGTAACAACTGATAACTGACAGAAGAAAAAATGCAATTACAGAGTCACAAGCCGTTGAAAAAATTTGTCAACGCCGACTATATGAAAAATCCGCAATTACTTTTTGGACAACCCAATAGTATACTCTGGACATCCGTCACTAGCTCACCTCTCTGGGCTCTACAGCAGTTTGCTCTGGTCGTCGTATCTTTTCGTAGAATTTTTGAGCAATACCCTTGTCGGCCAGCTTCTCAAGCATATCGGTCTATTCCTTTTTTGTCACGTGTTGTGGTCGATTGTAAGGTTGCGAGGTAGGCAGTCCTTATCGTACCAGCTGTTTATGTGACCTTTTCGATACTATAGTTTCGTTTGCAGTACCACCAACATGATCGGCCTGGTTGAAAGTTTCTCGATCTGGAGCCAGGCAAGTAGCTGGGAATCTAGTGATACAGACAACCATACTTCGGGCCCCAGCTAAGTCGATCAGCCTCAACCCAGATGGGGATATTTCGTCGTGGAGCCTGATATTTCAAACTGTTGTCCCAAAAATATCTTTCTGGCCAACATAGCGTTGAAGTTGCTCATAAGTATTTGTAGGAATCTACATTTGTAACTTACAATTTTCAATTTTTTAATTTATACATATGTCACTGATTTTTGAATGTCAAAAATTTTCATTTTTCTGATTCATTATAATTTCCATTTTCAAATAGAAAGCTGATGTTCAATAAATTTTATTTAATAAATAAAACATTAAAGTTTTTATTTTAATATATAGAAACTAACTTTTCAATAGTATTCTTGGGGCGCTCCGGAAATGGAAATGGGGTCGTCATCAAAAGGGGGGTCTCTCATTCGAGGCATAATATGATGTTTAATTGGGTTTTTTCATTTGGTGGATCCCAAACCCTATGCAAAAGCGCTTTGGATTAGTCTTCTCACTTCAGCTCGCGTCCAAACGGATGTTTGTTGGCTAACCAGGGGATACGTGGTCTATAATCAGAAGTCGTGAGCTGCTAGAACCAAAGGAATCGTTTCTGGCCACCCACAGGAGAATAGTAGTCAATAATTTTCCTCCTTCCGTAGACTTCTATACATATTGCCACGAAATTTGGCGCAGACTTTTAGATCAGTCTTTTTGTGGATTAGGTAGAGCACACTTAGTTTCCAAACGTCGCACATGCTTTCATCCGACCATATTTTACAAGGAGTCAACTTTTCACTGTTATCTTTAAACATTTTAGTCGGAGAGCCATCACCTTCAGCCACTTGGGTTGGGTAATAGAACGCCTTTTCTATTGTCATTGATAAGGAGCTTGGCTTCCCCATATACAGTTGTTGAATTTTCACTACTATCCGGCAGGATGGAGAAGTGTTCTCTCTATAAATTCAGTATATTCTGGACATCAGTTTACAGATAACCTCCCTATGTCCTATAAGAGCTTGCTTCGGCCTTGAATGTTCAATTTTAACGTCGGCATACTATATTTCGAGGCAATAGCAAATATTCTGTTTCAACTTCGGCATACTGGCGACATTGGTTTTCTCTGTCACACATACAGGCATGCGCTCAGACTTACGTTATAGGTAGCGAATATTTGTTTTTAACATTATATTTTTTTCGGAGCAGTAGAAACATGGGTTTGTATATATGTAAATGCAAAGAAAGTAGCAGCGAATAATGCCTCATGTCTTTGCTTTTTCAACTTCAGCGTGATAGCTTCATCGGTGTACAGACATGTGCAAATGATTTGTATATGCTTACATACAGGCGATCATATCTTCGATAGAGATATATAGCAAAAATAGTTGTCATTGATATTTCTTCTTCGGCGTAGTAGCAACATTGGTTGGTATTGACATACAGACAAACATGCGGTTATTACTTTGTCATGAGTAACGAATATTTGTCTTTGATATGTTAACTTTGGCGAAGTGGCGACATTGTCTTGTGTTTGTGTATACATGCAGCAGGATTAGTACTGTATTACACTGGTTTTTAAACGTCGGTGTAGCTGCGACTTGGTAAGTGTTCACACACTTCACAATGGGTTGTAAAGGGCCGTAGCATAATCCGACGGGAAACATTGTCGGACATGACCTTATCAAAATGGAATCCCTATCCCAGCAGTTGCAACAGAGATTGCGAAATGATATTCAAGGGGCGGATCATCTCGCATATCTGTGGAAATATATATGTTAGATATTTCGGGCGAGGTGGAACTCCAATTTTTTTTATTAAATATAAACGCGACGAGCCGATTGATATTTTTAAACTTAAACTTATATATATATATATATAACTTATAACCTTTGAAAAATTTGCATTGTACAGTATTCTCAGCATTAGTATTCTTTGTGTACACCTCGGTCAAAATATGACAACCCTACAAAATAAGGCAATCACATAAATAAGTTCCGACATATCAGATCAGATATGTAATGTTTAGATTTAGCATAATATTTTTAAACAGGTGACCATATAACGATTTCTATTGGTGGCGGCAGCCGATTGGTGTGCATTGCGTACTGCCATTCAGAAGGCTCGAGTGCAAGTCCTGGCATTGTACAAACACCCAAAAATGTATAGAAAATTAATTTAAATAAAAAATTAAGCTAAACTTTCTAATTGCGGTCGTTTCTCTGCAGGGAATGTCTCTTCGAGTGTATTTTTGACATGATTTATTTCATAAAAAACCTTCAACCCTTCGGAGGCTTCATAGTATAAACTGTAGGTCCCTCTATTTGTTGGAAAACAATCAAGACGCAAAACAATCCATTGGAGGAGGAGCTCTGTCGAAAATCGCTTCAGCGGTTACAAAGTGCCAACTATATATTGACGTAGGAAGCACACTCAGTTTTAAGCCGCCTCCTAACTGCTAAAGAAGTTTGATTCATTCCCGGATATACTCGGAAGGTTTGATTTTCATGCAGGGCACCGATAATTTTGGAACTCAGCCAAAGCTCAATGGTAGTATACACTGCTACCGACTAGGCTACAGCACCCGCCGAGAGTTGTGTGTGAAACATACAATTCGCATGACATAAAATTGGAAAGGAAAATGGTTGAAATTATCTTGGAATTTACAAAAATTTTGGGCGATTCACCAAACTATAATGAAGTTGAAGTCAAATTTAGTAAAAGGGATGAAAATGTGACTATTGTGTGTTTTAGGTGCAAATATATTATCTCACATACCGGAAAATGTAATTTAAATAATTTTTGTAAATATATTTTCTCAAATCTTTTTAGTCATTATGTAACAATCAGGCAATAAACGCTTTTACTGACATATTACCTATGTAAAGAGATTATAAGACCCATGTTACTTTACAGAGTCACTGTGTGTGTACAAAGCTACGGATTGGTGCTAGCTAAACAAAGTCCAGTGGAAACCCTCAAAACTTATTACAGGCGCGTTAAAACAACCCATACAAAAGCATTTGAAACTTTCATAAATTTTTTCACGGCAGACCAGTATGGGAAATTATGGGCTAGCAATACAGCCTTGGATAAACCATACAGGACGCACCCAATGCTGAATTTTGCACAATTCTTTAAAGAGGTAAACTTCACCCTTTCCGTTTTCGGTTTGTTTTAGCACTTTCTCCACAAAAATTCCAGAGAGGAATGAATGATCAGTTCTGGATCATAGATCTGTATCTATCTTCAATGACGTTTCAAAACTCGGAGGCAAGGTGGGTGGCTAGCTCGTTATAACAGCAATCGACATGAGCAAGATAATTCTCAACCACTGTAGCGTCTTCACTCTCGTACAGTAATTAACCTATCACAATATACAGCCAAGCGGCAATTTAATTTCTTAATTGTCAACACCACCTCAAAGGAAATAATAATATGTTGGATAATCTTAAACAAAATCTCTGACAGATACAAAAAATCTAGACATCTACTTTTTCTAAGCATAACCTCCATGCGCATAACATCCAACGTAATTACCGGACACTGTTTGATGGGGACTCATGGTAGAATAATGGTCTACTTCTCCAATGATTTATGCAGACATACATTTTGACGGCCTTGCAGATATAGTGTCAATAATCTCGAGGGGCTTCAGTGTTTAGAAAACTGAGTGAAATCTCTTCTAAAGATCTCACATAGGTATTACAACGGACAAACTGGAATAAAATCGCTCGATCCGGGAACAATATAATTAACTTACCCATACAGAATACATAAATAAATAAAAATCAACCTTGATTAATTTTAGCCGTAAACCATAAACGCCATACCATATTTTTGAGAGACGGATTTCTTATTTGGGATTCCGATTCTACCACTATTTACATTTCATTGTCATTCGTAATTTGCATATACTGTATCCATATTTATATATATTCAATTATAAAAAATTGGCGCTTTATAACAGCTGAAATCATTTTTTCAAGCTCTTCCTCTAATTTTTGGTGGACATCTTTGAAATACATCAAGACAAATGGTGGAATAAACAAATTACCCTGTTAGATACACTTGAAGGGATTCAGGCCCAATAAAGTTTATTTAAACAAAATATTAAAATATCCATAATATTTATGGCAATTTAAAAAGTATAATAAGTATAGTACAAAGTAGTGAGGGCAAATATTGAAATGGTTTAATGTTTGCAGACGAAAACCGCGATGTAAACATGCCCTCGGAGGATGAGATAAAACGACAGAGAATAGCGTACAGTGGAGACCAAATCTATTCGAATGTAAGTGCTATAAATATCAAGAATATTTATATTTATAACAAATAATAATTTCATTTATCTTGTACGATTCTTAAAAACAGATTTGGTCCGGAAAATGGTGTATCAAAGATGAGCATAAACTTCTTTCCGAATTAGGAAGTTTGACAACGAATAGTAATACCGCCTACTATGATACTCACAGCAATTTTCCAGCAACAGGAGTTACTGGGAGTGATGCAATAATTTATGATAGCATCAATTCAATATCGCAAACCCAAAATTCTCTTTACACACCGTCCATAGGCGCATCAATTGGTAAGTAAAAATATCCGTATACCTCAGACATTTTGGACGTCATTTGCATAACGCTATCATATGGGAGGTTATGTCAGCTCAGTCGCTATATTTTTGGCTAATTTGGCAAACAATACGGAAGGAGTGTCTTATATTAATGTTTCGCGGGACAACATCATTAGTAGGATGTTGCTCAAACAAGTTTTTATTCCCCGAGCCGAACGTTTCTGAGTATTATCTGAAAATACAATTGGGGAGAATAAATATTATTCATTTGACATTTTTTCAGTTGCATTAAGGATATAAATCATAGTATTTGATATTATATTTTATTTTTAATAAGTTGTTTTAAAATTTCGTTACTTTTTAATTTTAATCTTTCATCAGGCAGTAGTTCGTTGACTCCTCTAGTGCCCATAAATATGTCAGACATGAAACTAAATACAAGCGGACATGAAGGAAATATATCACCATATTATACAGGTAAGCATAACAAGCCGTTGAATAAGTAAAGGGTGATTTTCTAAGAGATATAGGGAAGTTAAAAAAAAACATGAAATTTAAAAAATGTACGGTCCATATAATTTAATGTTTAAAGATAATTTCATGCAAATGTTGACCGAGACTGCGCCTCAAAGCTGTGACGTTTTCTGGATGCATTGGTAACTTTTGCAATGCTTCTGGCTGATCTTCACTCCAAAAATGACAATTCTGCTTATTTACGCACCGATTAAGCCAAAAATGAGTTACGTCGCTGAACACAATTTTTCAATAAAAAAAGTGGATCTTCGGCCAACTTTCCAAGAACCCATTCCCCAAAAATTAGGAGTTGCGGTAGGTCGTTCGGCTTCAATTCTAGCATCAGTTGTATTTTGAAATGCTTCATATTTAAATTCTTCCCCAATATTTTCCACGTTGTTGAGTAACAGAGGCCTAATTGCTACGAACGGCGACGAATCGAAAATTGATGGTCATCATTAATACTGTCCGATACAGCTGCGATATTTTGTTCAGTTCGCACTCCACGTAAGCCCATCGGTGGTGTAATGTCCAACAAAGTAAATTTCGTGCGAAATTTAGTCACGATAGCCCGAATAGCAACTTCAGTAGGTCGATTAAGCTGACCATAAAATCGAAGAAGCGCGCTATGAACTTTCTTAACAGAGCACGCATTTTGATATTAAAATTCGAAAATTGGCAAGCGTTGTTCGTTTGTAAACGATTCATGGTTATATAGAGCAGAACTGACGATGTTTCACAGTGTCAGCTATTTAAACCAGTTTTGCAAAAAAAGATAACAGCTAAAAAATCACCCTTTATAAGTGCCCAAATGAGGTTGCCTTTTTGCTACAGGCTAAGCATAATTCTTAAGAACTGTTATCATATCAATTGCAGATGAGTATCTGCACATAAATATCTCGATAACCCGGCATCTAAAAATGTACCATTAGAAAGGAATGCAATACCTTTCCAATATATTGGGTGTATGCATTAATTCGTGCAATTTTTTTTTGTGAAATAAGGATTTTAAACGTCTGGAATCGGTGGCTTGATCAACTCCTCATACTTTTGCAAATTCTTCTTGTGTCTGGCATGCATCTGCGTCGAGCAATGCTTCCAATTCTACGTCTTGGCCGTCCGTCGTCTTACAGGCCTATTCTGTCGAGGTAACAAAATGTACCTAGGTATTAAAATTTACCATTCAGTAAATTTTGTTACCATTCCGTATTCTGAGCTCACTGTTACCCTGTAGATTTTGTAACCAGCGGAATAGGAGGTAACAAACAATCAGCTGTTCGATTTTGTGTTGGTAATTAGTAAAAAAATAAAAAACCAAAATGGATAGACACATTTTACGTTTAGAATTAATTGAAGATAAAGAAAAAGTGCAAGTAGGCGTATGTTAAGAAGTTTGAGAGAAAGAATGACCCATTTAATTTGGAAGACAGCGTTTTCATTCAGCATTTTCGCCTGAACCAGTTTGTTGGGATCTTATGAACGAATTAGCACCATATGACAAGTGAGTAAATGTTCATTTTTGTTCATAATTTTTAAATAATCTTTTTTTTAGACAGAAGACATCCTTGCCGTTTTATTTGAGGTTTCTCTCAACAATATATTCCTTTTCCCACGGGTCGTATCAGAAATGCGTTGGGAGCAATTGTCTAACTGCGATGAGCGAGTCTTCTGTTCCACGATCACTGCACTATATTTCAAATTTGATTGTCAAAGAAAGAGCCGGAAAAATTTGCTTCCCACCAACAAGTGAAATGCAAGCACAAACAAAAAGAGGGTAAAAACAACTTTTTAAAACAGTTAATTAAGATTTTAATACAATTTTTTGTTATTCGAAGTTTGGAGTAAAAGGCGTCATTGGTGCAATTGACTGCACACACATTGGCATTATAGCACCTACAAGCAACGACCCTACAAATCCAGCAAGCCTGTATATGAACCGGAAAGGTAAATACAGCATGAATGTAGAGGCAGTGTGTGAAGCAAACATGAATTTTTTGTCAATAAACGCCAACTTTCCTGGGTCTTGTCATGACTCGGGGACATGGACGACATCCATGATTAGAAGCCTCTTAATGGATCAACGTGGGTGTTGGCTCATAGGCGACCAAGGCTATTCTCTGGATCCCTGGCTACTAACCCCAGTTTTAGAACCAACAAGCGCGCTTGAGGAAAATTACAATAGAGTACACTGTGCAGCACGCAATGTAATTGAACGTACTTTTGGTATATTGAAATCAAGATATCGATGTCTCTCAAAGCACCGCATTTTAAACTATGGTCACAAGACAGTAGTATCTATCGTCAATTCATGTGCAATACTCCATAATATGATCAATAAAACCGCATGCTATACCAACATAGAGCAAATGGACCTGGAGGAGAATGAAATTGATGAAAATTATTCAAACAGTGCGAGCAACAACTGTCCGCAACGTACTCTTTCGAGAAGCCGAACGGATTCGTGCACAATTTATGCGTAGAATTTAGTTTTCACAGTTTTTAATTAATTTGTGAAGAAATGAATAGAAGAAGTATTAAAAAACAATATTTTTATTGTATCGCAAATTCAGTCTTCATTGTTTTTATATTCAGGCATGGCTATTTACATATTTACAAAAATCTTAATACTACTAACTAAAATGTCTTCTAGACAAACACTTAAAAAAACTTATAGCAATTCATTTGGAAATCAAAAGTTCGCTTATGTAGCTAATGAAAAAAAAACTGACTACAGCTTATCAGCTAATTTGGAGATTGCATTGCCCAAAATCTCCGACCCTTTCCCCATTTGCATCAATGCCGAAGATAACTGCACATCTCTCTGTCTTTGAGACTGCAAATCTCCAGCCATCATCTTATAAATCGCATCCTTTGTCACTTTTTGTTGTCCAGAAGTGGTAGGAGCAATCGAAGGCAATGCATCAGAGGCTGCGGCAATGTTGGATACAATTGAGTCTACGGTTAACTCGGTTGGCGATTCTATAAGCGTTTCCTCAATCAGGTATGCTTCCTCTTCGCTTAGTGGTGATGGAGTCGCAGGAGTTGTGAACTTGCCCTAAGTAACCAGAAACTTTTGTGTATATTTAACAAATGGCAAATGAATAACTTACAGGAAGTCCGAAGGATGCGCACTCCAATCCATTGACTGCGCTCATGCCAAATGCAGAAAGAGTTTGTTCCTCGAACTCTGATAACTTTTCGTCTGAAAACGAACCTCCGCCAGTGCGCAAGCTTTCTGCAGTTTTATTCGGCCCATAAAATGAATTTAAATTCAGGGCTTTTTCGTCCCACAATCTTTTCTGAGCTTGGGGATCATTTGGTGTGTTCTTCCCGCTTGGTATCTGCCGATACATATTTTGTTGCGCTCCATCCATTTTGGTGTATGTATCATTCTTTTTTACTTTACCAAATGTTGTAATTTGACAACAACGAAAAAAGCAGTGCTGCCAAATTTTTCTCAATTATTGTAACCAGTTCGCCAGAATACCAAATTTAATTTCGGGTGTTAAAAAAAAGTAACAAAATTTACTTTACCGGTAACAATGAGAATAGGCCTGTTAGTCGAATCTGCCACTTTTAAACCGTGCAAACCACTTTTGACACGTTCGTTCGGCTAAAGCATGGCTACCATGAATGTCCAGTAATAGTAATGAAGAAGAACTCCCCGCAAAAACACTTTATCTGGTACAAATTTCGACATTATCAAATGAATAGAACAAATTGTTGTTCACGCTAAAACAAATGACATCTGCTGAAAACGGCACGAACTGACAGTAAATTTGAAATGAATATAGCCACAGATGAACACGACGCGAAATAATACTAGTAGAGCCCTCTTTAGAAAACTGCAGGAATTAATATATAAAAAAAACTCCCACCGCTGCACAAAAAGACATTTGTTATCGGTAGTCAAACCATGGTTGCATTTTTGAAACACTGTACTTTGCTTAAAAAGTACCGAGGTTTCTCCGGTGTTCATCTTTTTGGTTTCATGAGAAATTTAGAGCCACCTCAGTCGCCACTGAAGCCAGATCAATCTGCACAGTGATTTTTCCAACAAAGTGGAGGTCCTATTGCTGTTTTTTAGCTGCTACGTTAACCCCGCTAAGGGACTGGCTTAAAATCCATCTATGTTACCGAGGTCATCTAACGGGAGGTCTAGGAAACGTGTTGTTTCGACGGGATCGCACCAGAGGGAGAGAGGGGTTAGATGTTGTGGCTTAAGCAACATGCTTTAAGAGGTGGTTAGAGGTGTTAGTGGTTAGAGGATAACTCTATCGGCCAATAAAACTTTCCTTTGCTGGCTGATTTCCCCGACTTGGGTACACAGTATTCTTTTTCCACTCATCGGATTTCAATGGGGTGGTCAAAGCCAAATTGAAGACCTTGGTGAGGAAGTCTGCTCCCGCTGGTCCAAGATGTTTTGGCATCAGCATGCTTATTCCGTAGTGATAGATGGATTTGGGGGCTTTCGCCTTACCGAAGACCCCCTGAACCTCTTCCTTGGAGAAATCCAGCGCCCGCTTGTGCTTGGTAGTTTGCGCAGGCGGCGGTTATTTGTCGCTTCGTTTTGCCGAAGGATGCAATGTAAAAAGTTGACTAAACAAGTCCGCGCATCTCTTCGAGTCCGACAAAGCGCAGTCTCCGAATGAAATTTCCACTCTGTCTTCGCATCCAAAGGGTTGGACAACGATTTAGCTGTAGCCCAGAGCAAGGATGCCCCAAAGGAGAGATCACATGACCTTTAATGCTTCTCCCACTTTTTCCGCTTGTGGTTGCTAACAACCGTTGGAATCTTCGCGTTTAAGTCCCTAAGTAGGTGTTTTCCGAGATCGGCGTTACGAACGATGTTGTTGCTGAAACCGTCGCTTCCGTCGGGAAATTACGGCAGTATTCGACAATCTGGCCTGCCGGAATAAAGGCATTCTCAGAAAATTCCGCGAAGCTGGACCAGCTAGCTTCTT